ATGGGCAATAGATTCCAAAAGAGTCACTCGATGCACAAAAGCACTTGACCCAGATTTGACCTGAGTCTGGGGAGTGTGAGTGTGGGCGCATTTCTTGACCTACAATAAGTGTACTGTAAGGAGGTGCACACTCCTGCACTCTTCAAGCATGATAGCTTGGAGCATTGCCAGTATTTATGTATTCCAGTGGTTCTATCAAGCCTTGATGAAGGTGAAGAAGAGGTGTGATTTGAATATTGAGCTTCTCTGGAGGGATGTGAAAATGAAACATCCCAGAGAGACAGCAAGAAGCATGATATTTATACGTAGGGGGGAGGAATTGGGTGTCATCAGAATTTGACCTGCTTCCAAACTTTTGTTTAAAATCTATATAGTAAACACAATTTAAGTTCAAGATTTAGCCATCCTAGAGTTGTAACTACGGTGCAGTTAGTTATAATCGGTATTTAATTTAAATCTTGAGGCTATTGTCAATAGGAGTTATGTTTTTGTTAGCAATAGGAAGTCACATGTTAAGTCTGTCTACTCTGTGAAAGGCAGAATCGAGTTATGCATCAGAACGACCTTCCTGAGAATTTAATCTCAGCTCTTTCATCGTCTAATTGATCATCAGCAGGATTAGTATAACAGTTTGAGTGAGTGTTGAGTAGAGTGGAGTGGGAAGACATCAGCACTGCTGTCAGAAGTTAAACCTAAATGAGAACCATTGGCTTTGTGTTCTAGGCTTCAGTAAAAAGAGAATGGAATTCTTGAGACCTGTTTTCTCTTACTGTGCTTAAGATCAGATCACTTTATTGGCCATATACAATTTCCTGTATTAGGAATTTGTGTTCTCACATACCTCAACTTGCTCTCCATGAGACACACAGACATGGAGAGAAGCCTGGGGTCAGAGCACAGGGTCAGACATTTATGCAGCACCCCCTGGAGCAGTTGGGGTTAAGGGCCTTGCTCAGGGGCCCAACAGAGTAGGATTCCTCTGCCAGCCACAGGATATGAACTGGCAACCTTCCAGCCACAGGCACAGATCCTTAGTCACAGAGCCACCACACCACTCCAGGGGCCTTGATAAAGTAATACAATTTTATTTATGTAGGCTTTCACAACTCTTGAGACGTTGTTTGAAAAGAAACTGAAACCAGGGAATGGGCAAAGAGTAGTAATTCAGCTTTCCAATCATGCCATTCAGTCAATTGACCTCATGTTTTTTTTAACAATGAGCTTCATGTTGCTGGGGTTGAAGAACATGTACAGGATTTACGCACCTTATCATTCTGCTCAAAATCTGTTAAAGATTGAAGTAAAATTGAATTGAGCTGAACAGAACTCAGCTAGCCTGCAGAGAGCTGTGCACAGTGTTCACACTATTGTTGTGACTATAAAAGGAAGGCAGATCTTTTATCCCATTGTTTTGACTGTTAGAGGTGGGCTGTGATGTTAGCGCTAAGGTGTGTTTAAAATGAACTGCATTTCATTGCCTGTGTGCAGGTACTGTATAATGTAGTTTGCAGACCTGGCTCTAAAGCCTTACTAACTCCACAGTCAGATGATTCCATGATTACAGTCATGACTGTTAGGATCCTATATTTTGACATTGGCTTTGACATTTTGACTAAATGGTTAGATTATAGTATTTATTGGAACAGGAAGGCTTGCATTTGGCTTCTTAGATTCCCGGTGTAATTACTTTTTAGCTAAGTAATTTGAAGTTATTTGAAGAATAATACTATTGGCTGTGCTGAAACTATTGGGCTGAGTAGCGCTAAGGTGTTTTTTGCGATTTTCAGCACAGCGGATACAGTCTGAGAAATCTCTCAATGCTAATTGTAATATTTATTAATGTTGATAGTAATTTAGTCTATCATGCATATAAAGAATATTGATGTTAGCTTCAGACTGCTTCACCTTTCTCTAATACACCTCACTGTCCATAATTGCCAGAACCTTTATAGCTTTTTGAACTATAGTATTATTCCTTTTCAGTTCTGGTTGAATTGTTACTATACTGTATTGTTTCGAGTTCGAATGTAAAATTATTTTGCGCCCAGTGAAAATACTAAGGTCACCTTCTCCAGTCTGTAAGTCTCTCAAGTGGAACAGGGTCTGAGGACCAACTAGGCTTTTACTTGCTGATTTGTGTTTTAGTTTTCCATTTCTGATCCAGGGTCAATGCAGAATTAAGAATGGTAATACTAAGGGTGAAATGCTTCATGGTTGATTTAAGACCCTCAGATGTAATTTAGAAATCTTGCAGCTGGCAGTTTTATAATGTTTCACTGTCTGCCTTGACATACAGAAGTGTATAATAGGTGTCTATTCTATTTTCTGATTTGTTTCTCCCTTTGCTGTGAGATGGGGCAACCTAGCCTCTGCTCTCCAGAACACGATCACAGGCGCTTTGTTTTCCAGAAACTGAACCTTTTCTTGGTCTTTTCAAAATGCATTCTGGTGTCTTTCTCCTTGGTGTTTACACTCAGATATCCTCCTTCTCCTGGGTTTGCTGCTTCTGGCTGAGACACACAGTACATATGGTATACAGAATGAATAGACCTTTAATGTAAAGCACCTGGACTGTGATTTAACTAATGACTCATAACAGGTACATTTCAAACATTATGCCATATACTGTAATGGTCCAAAAACATGTTTCTTGTACTGCAGAGCACTGTTGTCAATGGCAGAAATGTAGTATACTGCATTATAACAATAAGAATAGTTAACCTTTATTGCTTCATCTGAAATGTTGTGGTCTCATCACAAATTATAGAGAAGTACTTAGAAAATAACAGGTTATTAAAGCTTACAAGAGGCAGGGGTCACAGAGTTTCTCTGTTTTAAAACAGCTGTCTCAGTGTATTCTACACAGAACCTCGTCGTACACTGTAATTCACCCAATTGTTTCAGCTTTGCAGTGCGCTTCCTGCAGGTAATTTCCCGGTGGATTGTAGTCGGGATTCACATGGCAGGCCAGTGGTGGGGTGTGCAGTGCTGGTGTTCTCTGGAAAGGAAGTGACTCACAGTCCAAACAGAGTTATCATTAAATTATAGAGTTATCATCAGAAGACCCAAGGGTTGTTGTTGGTTCTTTGGCTGTGAAGAGGAATAAATCAACACAGGCTACACTTCTTCTTGGTCATGGACCAATGGTCATTCTTTAGACTTGAGCCTGTAGTGAAATCATTGAGTCAATTATTAATTTCATTGGTTTCAAGTCCAGGTTCTCAATGTGTCATACTTCATGGGAGAGCTCCCTGTGAAGCCCAGTGTGTTTTGGTTCTGCAGAACCTTTTAGGGTCTACACAAACTGTAGTACAGCGTGTCAGGTGTCTGTGTTGCACACCACAAGTTCACAGTTCACAATTCACAGCAAGAGTAAACAACTGCTACAGTGGCGCAATAGCAAGGGATTTTGTGCAAGTGCCAGTTATGAATCATGCCTTCATCAATCAAAGAACTGTTAGCTAGATGACATGTTGTAACCTTGTGGGTTTTTACATGCATCACAATACACACCTCTTTTTATGATAAAGAGTATATTACACACGTAGGGAAATGATTTCTCAAGAAAATCATGTGTCGGGTGGAAGAGATAAGTCATTCAACTCTTATATGAACTAAGAGATAATCCCTCAACAGGCCTTCTCAGATGTCAAGTTTTTTGCTACTGGTAGTTGTTCTGCAGTACTTTCTGTTTAGAACTAATCGGTTCTCATTCCATGCCTAGAATACATTTGTTTCCTGGTCCTCTAGTCCTCTGTTTAAACTGTTTCAGATCTTGTGCTTGTGGCAGTAAGATGACAGAAATTCCATTGCTGACACTGAGGGATGTGTGGCTGCTTGTGTCTGTGGGATTTGCTCTGTTCGGGATGGAAGAGGTCAAGCCCATTATGTAGCAACTGCTGAGGTCATGTATTTGGATATTTCTGTTTCAGCTGCCAGGAGGATAAATGGGAATCTTCTTGCTTTGTATCTTTTGGTCTCCTGTCATTGAATGTAATTCAACATACTAAACTCCCCTAGAAATCGCTATATTTCTGTGTGCAGAGAAAATAGTTTCAGTTCGCACACTTCACAAATGTTTATAATGTTAATGTTAATGTTAATAATGTCAGTACACCCAAGAAGATATTTATTTTGTAGTCACTTTAAATCTTTTATACTGTAGAACAGTGTAAATGGGCTGTGATTTGCTCATTGCACACAGTAAAATAGAGAAGGGTCATACTAGTGATTTGGCTGTGAAAACCGAACAGGTCTAAGATGATTACACTTGCCAGTAGTTTCACAGACCCTAATTATCACTAATTCTAGACTAACTATTGCCAGTTCAAATAAGCAAGTATAGTACTCTTGCTAATCAGAGTCTTTACAGTTAACCCCTAATGTCCTAGCAGAGAACAGGCAAGAAAACATGAAGAGTCAGGGGTAAAAAGGTTTTCTGAAAAGCTGCATCCTAATTAGTTTCCTTCCTTACTGATACAGTATTGGGTACATTCTGCAAAATTCTACTTCTTTCATTATTTTTAGTCTCAGGTGTTTCAATCCTTAAAACCCTTCTTTAAGATCAAATCCGAGGTTTCATTTTAGACCTCCAGAGGTCTAGTTTTGGTGGTTGTGGGTGAAAAGTAGAGCAGAACTTCTGTCCTCCTGCAGGGTGAGAGTGAATTTTCTGTCCAGACAGCCCAGTGCCTCAGCCCCAGCTGATGTGCTTACTTCCAGGCTTCGCACAACGTAGGCAATGACATCACTGACGAGTTCTTCCCAGGAGATGTGTATGCTCGTGGAGGTTCATCCAAATAAGCCAGATCCATCTGGCTAATTCCCAGCTGTGGCTACTGAAGCTTTTAGCCAGGACTGAGCTCGATCGGTTTAAGTAACATTGTGCATTACTGATTGCTCATTTTAATTTGCTGTTCACTGTAAGAATATTGTTCATACCATCAACAGATGTTGGGGGGGATCTAGGTAAGTAACGCCTGTTAAAAAACTCTGGCAGTACATGAATCATTCACAGTGTTTAATTTGACACACACGTGCTGCATGAATGGGCCCTGTGAATAAAGATGTTGTTTGAGTGCTAATTGAAATTGGTTTCACAATGTCAATCCACAGTAACACGGTGATAGACTAGTGCTTCACTGCTGGAGTCTGACACTCTGGAGTTTTAAAACAGTACCAGATACGGTGCTGATTTTCCGGAAACACACGGGTGGATGCAATTATATCAAGGACTGCTTGATCTTATAATTTTTTGTAAACCCCCTCCTCCCCAGCTCACCCAGAAATGCATGTTTGTGAAACATCAGCAATGGATAATCTATTTTTTTAAACTCAAAAAGCCCTCACCTAAGGCTTAGGATCTGTCCAGAAACAAATGTTTAAAATACAATTTGCAAGTTCCTCCTGTCCTTAGGAAGCCAGTACAGAAATCATTGTTTTGAGAAATTGGAACTAAATACTGTAATTGGTTGAGATCAAAGCACATTCACACTTACAGTGGAAAGCAATGAGCCAAACTGCACAGCACTAAAGATAAATTCTTCTTCTATTAAAATGTTGGTTGTTTTTTGTGGACTGTGGGAGATCGGAACATCAGCACATCGGTAGCAGTCTTGCTCTTCCAAAACCCTCACAAGGCTGCAGGTGCCATGTGAGATGAAGGAGTAGGAGCTTCTCAAGTGAACACAGTCTAGGGAATGAGGGCTGGCAGCAGATTGCGGACTCAGGTTCCGAAGTGTACCTGGGGTGAGAAACAGGGAGCGTGAGGCATTCTGAGACTACAGGTGAGACATTTTCCAAGACCTGGAAAAGGAGAACTGAGATAAAAAGGAAAAGGCTTGAAAGCTAAATAAAATAAGCATAACATTTGTCCCGGGTATCTTGTTTCTTTGATTTAATGAGTGTAACTGTGATAGGAAACGTGATCGTGCTTTGCCATCAGCGTGTGTGATCACAGAGACATAAATCTCGTCCGAGTGTAACAGGGCGTCAGTGACACTGTCCCTCCTTGACATCTAGGGAGTACGGGAGTTATTCTGAAACACAAGATTGGCTCACTGGGTGCGGCGGAGTTCCGTACTGTCCAGGGGGGAATGCGGCCTGGAGCCCATGAATGACCATGATTGAAACCCAGCAGGGGCAGAGCAGAGCTGTACCAGTCACTTGGAGCACCAAGGCACGTTGATGCTCTGGTGCGGTAATGCTCTACTTGGATTTAGTGGCTGTGGGATGTACGACAGTGTCTGACACTTGCAGTTAAAATCTAACGAAGGCTAGGAAGAAAAGGGACATGGCAAGCAGTCACTTTAGAGTAGAGAACTGTCTACTAATGCTTCAGTCTTCAGCTGCAAGTGCCTGTGAAAATCAGCTGCTGTTGAAGAGAGACGATGTTGTTTCTGAGTTGAACAGCCAGCCACTATGACTATGCATTATTGCCTCGATCTACCTTCCATAATGAACCTGTCACTTATCTTCACTGCACATGAAAGTTACAGTACCCTCTATATACTTCTTCTTGGAGTCACATGTCTCATCCTTTAGAATCAATAACCTCAAAACAAGTTCTGTGTTTGAGTGCTTTGTTGGATTTCTAAATGTTTGGCACTCATAAGGAAGGTTACAGATTAGAGGAGAAAATTCTGCTTATCTTGCTCATTCTGTTGCTGGTAGATAACTGATCCCAATAGGACAAAGTTGTGGTACTCAACGTGCAAAATCGTTTTTTTTTCCTTTGGAATGCACCGGGAGTGCAGTTTCAAAACACGTGAATTGGTTTCTACAGCTCTGCACCCATTCATCAGTTTCTGGCCTGGGGTTTTTTCTGAATGAGGGCTCAGTGCAGTTGTAACCATCACTGCCCCCTCCAAGGCCTAATCCTTTGACTGGGCTGTGAGGCTTAGCTGTGTACTTCCTGCCCTCACCTCCACAAGAGAATTCCTTTGATCTCCACAATGGGGCTTTGTAGCCCTTCCTTCTCTGTTCGAGTCCCCATGGTAACCACACTACCCTGACCCTCCGTGCCCTCTCTGTGTCTTCCAACTCACACTAATAACAATAACAACGCTGGTCTAACAGTGGATGAGGCCAGGGAATCCCTCACCTGAGTGGGATAAAATAAAACAGATTTCCAAAGCTGCGCACACCTGTAGAAACATACAAGGGCTGTCTTTGTGTGAAGGACCAGTCGAGACTTGCTGGTGTTGTTTCTGATGCTCTGTAGAGGTGCCAAGACATAGCATAGCACATTGTGTTCATTGCCATAAAAAAGCTGCTTCATCTACAGTACAATTGTGATTCTTATCATTTCGGAAGCCGTAGTATATTCCTGTTTTTTCATTCTGTATCCTTCTTCTGTCTCTTTTAATTAAACAAGCAAACTGTTTCAAAGGATTTCTGCATACGTTTGCAAGCATGCAACTATAGATGAACATTATCTAACATTTGATTTTTCATTTTGACAGAAGCATTTTGCACGGAGCTTAAAAATAAATGATCTTTATAGATCTGGCAAACAATTTCACAAAACCAAAAAAGCTCTTTTAAACAGTGGCAAAATAGAAATTGCTGTGGCTTCTTGTGCCTTTGTGTTTGATCTTTATATCCTCTTGCACATGATATCAAAAGGATTAATCAGAAGCCTTTTTTGAATTCTGATTACAGGGTGTCCAGCAGATGGCGCTCAGCCTTCTGCCTTTAGATTGGATAGATGTGTGAATTAGAGTGGGATGCAAGCTGTAGTCCTGGAGGGTCGCAGGGTCTGCTGCTTCAGCTTTTAACAAATCTAGTTGACTTGAATTACTTATTATTTCAATTTCATCATCCATCATCACATTTCCTCAGCTAGTTTCTTGTTGCTATTCCAAAGACACTTGACTCCAAGACTAGAGTTACTGTACCTCTATTTTAGATTAAAGACAATAGCTGAATAAAATAATTGTCATAACTTTTAATGTGAGGAGTTAAAACGTATTTATTGATCAGAGTTGAGGCATTGATTGTCCCGTGTCTTAACTATTAAGGCAGAGAAAAATACTGCGCTGGATTACAATGTGTTGCATGCGAATAGGACCCGCAAACAGGAATCAAATTGTGGAGTACCTTAGAAAAATTGCTCTCCTCTCTGACACTGCAGGTGAGTGGGCTCTTTTCATTTCTTCCCAAGCAGCACGGATTAATCAATCCAGCGTCCTGCAGCTGTTCTGCAGTTTTGAATTCCAGTTACCCTCCTCCAATTTCAGTCTCAACCCCTCACAGAAAAAGCCATCCAAATAACCGAACGATTCACTCACTCGGCTGCATGTGTCACTTAAGTAGATTAAAAAAGAACTCGAGGGGCGTGTAGATTACACACTTCTACCGAATTCCCAAACCAGCAAGCTGGTTAATGGGGATCCTGTAAGAGCTGCCTATAATGGAGTATAATGCATACTTTACCTTTCAGATTCTTTAAATGAGCGAGTGACCCTCTTTCCCATTTCTCTTTTCTTTCTTATGGCGTGTCCTACAGGTATCTCGTGTGATCTCCTGATGTAGTTCCTCTGCTTTGTTATTTTCTATATCAGACAGCTGCTCTGGCGGCTTAAAAGCACTTCTCAAAGGAAGTCCTAAAGGGAAGCTAATTAGCATCCGAATTCCCCTTTACCAGTTGGTGCATCATTATCGTGCAAAGCCGACATGCTTTACTCCATCTCACTTCCTCTTATTCAGACGTCTGTAAAGAGGCCGTGTATTGTTAAACATGGACTAGGAATTGCCAATAAAATAAAGGAGGAAACAACAGTACAGATCACATATAAAAGAAATACAATAACATCCGACTATGACTGATCAGCTAAGGACTCGTGACTTGCACATTGACAAACGTTCCCACAATTCCTCTCTCACCAGCTGTTGCTGTCTATATGACTACTGAACATAGCTTTGCAGCAGGCTATAAATACAGGGCTGGAAATACAGATACTTAGGGCTCACTCCTCTTGTTTAACCAGCTGCAGGCTGTCAGTCTGGTCAGGGGCAGCAAGGGGTAAATGTGAAAGGGGCGTGTTTGGGTGAGAGAGAGGCTTCAGCGAGAGGTGAGCGCAAATGCTCCTGTTAAAGATCACGTGCGAAAGACACCCTACACTCCCGATTTGGAAGTGATCTTGGCTTTTTTGTACAAAGAATTCCTATAACTTCTTTTTTTAAGAGACAAATCTTATGATTATATATCTCCATTTTTCCTTTCAGTGAGCTCCTGTCAGGTGGTGCACTAGTAAGCATTGCTGCTTTGCAATGCCTTGCAGTCCTGGGGGCCTGGGTAAAATTTAGGACCTGATGTTCTGTCTGTGTGGAGTTTGTATGTTCTCCCCGTGTTCACATGGGTGTGCTTGGCGTGCTCCACCATCCTTCATTCAGCAGTCCAAAGATACAGTATGTTCCTTGGTTAATTGGCTTCTGGTGAAATTGGCCCTGGTGTGCTCGTCTATATTTGTGTCTTTGTCTGTGTCCTGTGATGGACTGATGATCCTGTCTATGATGTATCCTCCCTTGCATCCATTGCTTGCTGGGATAGGCTTTGGGTCCCCTGTGACCCAATATTGGATAAAGCAATTCACTTCCTGTTGGGTATCTGTGTTCTCAGATCTGATCAGTACCAGAGACAGTTTCAGTAAATACTGTACTTGTTCTACCTAACTGAGGATAATGAACATGTTAAGTAGCACACTTTCTAGGCCATTGCCAGTTGGATTCACTAGGATCTAGAAACTGTGTTTTCAAGCAAAAAAATGAACAGCAACATTCTGTTTTGCTGAAAGATAAAGTGCACAATCCTGCAAAGTTTGAAAATGATCCAACTTAAACCTGCAGAACTAGCATTGCCACAATGACACTGATTTATGAACGCACTCAGTGGTAGGGTCACTCTGAAAATTCAGGGTCACTGAGGGATAATATTTGAGAAATATGCCAGAAAAGAGAAAATTCTTTTTTTTCTAATAATGATTGCTAATACCAAGTTACAGTATGTGGTGCTGTATATCCCTTGTGTGTCTGAAGTTTTATTTAAATACAAGTTTGTGTATTTAAATAAAAATGAACTTTGTGCACTTTTCCTTCTCGGGGCACATCACTAAGCTAAATTTAGCTGTGTGGAAGGAGATAAATGCCACCAGCCAGTGTCTAGTGTCCCATCTGTCACTTTAATATGCCATTCATTACTCGATTCACACACACTTCTGCACTGTCGTGGTCCCAAAACACTGCACTTCCAGTAAGTTATCAATTACATTACTCTGTCACTGTCCAAGAACTAATTAGGTAGTCCTGTGCCATAAAGCACAGAGATAGGAGGAAGCAAATTTAACAATTTAGCTTTCTCCTTTTTAATGTTTATTAATGAATGAGAACCTGCAAAATGCAGTGCATACTCCATCACCCAACAAAATCTGTTCTTCTTTTCCAAAGGGTTTCAGGGCTCTCCCCATTAATAAGACACCTGTTCTTCTATCTCTGTCAGAAATAAATAGGCTTCTTTTTAGATTGTCAAGATAAATGGCTTCACCTGCAGCTGATGGACCAGACAGACTTATCATGACAGTTTTTATCACACTGACATTCATCACATGTTATTAACTGTACAAGAAAAGCCCAGAGGATCAACACGTATAAATAGCAGTAAAAGTGACTTGCAAAATAATCCTTTTTAAGGGGATGGAGAAATTTAATGTAATTATTACAAAAGCAACTTTTTAGGCACTAATTATGTTAAATGCTGGAACGCTAAATTACAGGATTTCTTTCTTCTTTAATGGAGGGGGCGACTTGCTAAGTAATTAACTTTATCACAGACTGATACAGAAATGAGGTATTGTCAGGTTCACAGTTGTGTTTGGATTTTCTGTTGCCATTTATGTAAAAGCAAAATACGTCACTGTTCTAATGGCTTTAAAATGAGCAGTGTGCACGGGATCAGATCTTTGTTAAGGATCTGGCAGAAAGAAGCAAAGACAATTCTAAAGAACAGCCCCCTTTTCCCCCAGGAAAGATCTTGAAGCAGTCCCTGTAATCAGGAACCCAGGGGTTAAATTCCACCAGGGAGAAACATATGGCTGAACCTACAATTAGGAGGCAGTGAGACACTGACCACAACCTGCACCCTGCAAGTCCTAACACTGCACTCGACCTCTCCTCTGGACAAGCTCCCATCTGCGGTGGCTTGGTGATGCACAGTACAGAGGATTAGGCACTATGGATAAAACCAGCATTGGCTAAGATGACAAGACCATTTCAGGGCAGTGAGGCATGGACATCTGAGCCTGTGCCGGAGGGGCCGTAGAGGCAGGATTTGCGGTTTTCTCCGGTTTTGTCTTGTTCATTCCAGTGCATCCAGATTCCAAGAATTCAATGGGACATCTTGTTGTGTCTACAGGGATGTAATGTTTGGGCCCAAAGTCTGTTGGAAGAAGAGCTTGTGGTGTGGAAACGTGGGTGGGATACTGGATTACTGCATGTACTTCTTACTACATTTTACAGGTGCGCAGCTGAGAGTGTGCTCACATGTGGTGTTTAAGTGTGGTTTGACAGCAGCTCGTGTCTGACTGGAAGGCATTGTAAGGGGTGATCAGGACAGCCATTGGAGTACAGCTCCCTTCTGTTGTGGACATTTTTACAACTCATTGTCTCTGGAAGGCAGGGAGTATTGCTAAGGATACCAATCATCCTGGTTTCTCTTTTTTCTCTCCCCTTCCCTCTGGTAAGCCTTATACGAGCATAAAGGCACAAACCTCCAGATTCAGAGACAGTTTCTTCCCACAAGCTGTCAGATTACTGAACTCTAACCCTACCCTCTCTGACTCACACTGTTATTTTTTACTGCTTGTCTGACTTGTTGTTTTTTAAATTGTATGTTATTTAACTTGTCGTTGCTGCTGCCGTTCTTTGTTTATGTTTTTGGTGATTCCTAATTGTTGTTGTATCAGAGCATACATGCAAATAATGATTTCATTGCACGTGTGCATATGACAAATAAACTGAACTGAATTGAATATTAATGAAAGATTTAAAAAGGAAAGAGGTGACAATGCAGAGCACACTACTCAATGAGAAAAAAGACTCCCTACAAGGGAAAGGTTGTGGGACAACTTTTCTCAAAGAGAACTATCCGGGGAAAAGTCTTCAGAACCTTTTTGTATCCTATTGACAAGCTCTAAAAGAAGTTTAAATGATAGAACCACCATGAATGTCTTTATTATTAATGGCCTCATAGTGCCAGGATATTTGCAAAAATAAACTCTGTGAAATGAATCATTAAACTTAGAACTTTGCATTTTAAATGCTGTAGTCTGTGTTACAGTGTTAATGGCTGAGAAATACTGTTAGAGTTCAGTGTACTCAATATTCCCATGAGGTTAGGAGCAAGAGGCTTGCCAATCATGGTTCACTGTCCTGCTGTGCAGCCATTCTTTCCCTTTGAAAGGAAAACGCACCGAACATTCCCTGGACTTCCTGTGTGTGTGGATCACACAGCTGGAGACCTGGCTGAGCACAGGTGTCTGTCTCTGTGGCTGCAGTGGGCCAGCTCTCTTTGCCTTGGAATAACCTGAGTTTTTGTGCTTTGTTACAGTCAGATATTCATTTATGCTTTCCTGCCGCTCTGTCTCTTTTCCTGTTGGTTCCTAACCTGCACATTCCTTGGTACTGTACATTTTCCAGCTGCTGCTAGCCATGCACTGGAGTTTTCGCACAGGACAGTGGCTCCATTTAGGATTAGAAGGTCCACTGATTTATCAAGGGTTGCTAATCATGTGTGGATTAGTTTCCTTTCCCATACTACAGTCCAGCTCTCACTGACCATTTCCTTTTCTCCTGACTGCCTACCTTGCACATTGCTCATTTCAAAGTCTCTTTTTAATTAAAGTTTTTTTTTTAATGAAAAAGAAAAAGGAAAGCTGAAATATTACCTGACTATGCAACATGTTTTGAAGTGTTAAATTATAGCTGCATTGGTTGAGCTAATTTTAGTCTTTAATTAAAATCGAATGTGGTGCTGCTGCAGATAACTGCTGCCTGTTAAAAAGTCTGTAAAGGGATTAAATGACAAATTTTAATTTTAAGTCAATATCAGATGCAATGTTTTCCAAAGGCCCAGTGATTTGTTTCAATGTTGTGTTGGTATTATTACTGCCGTGGTATTAGTAGCAACAACACAAAGCTGTTTTAATTTCTTATTCTCTGTAACTTTAAATGCACAGTAATGGAACTGGGAGCAAAACATAAAGAGTTTAGTAAGATGATACTGTGGCACCTGTTGTCTTCATTGTACTCTGAAACAACATTACAGCAGAGGAATGCCAGAGTACACAGAACTTTTCAGATGGCAGAACTCTTCACAGGCTGTTTTTCCAACAGCTTTGCAAAAGGGTTGTTTGTTCAGGGTCACTCTGCACATTTCTAGCTTTCTAAGCGTCTTTTCAGCTGCACCACAGAGATACAGCAAAAAACAGAAAAATGGCAAATAAAGTGCTGCATAGTGGCAGTGCTAGACTTGTACCACCTGTATGTGTATGTTTGGTAAAATGTAATTGTTATATTATTGTTCATATTGATGAGAACTAGTCACCTCCATCTCTGGACATTTCTCAGACCATCAAAACTTGGTTGAATGGACAAAACTGACCTTGAAA